GGATGCCCATTTCTGGATTGGGTCTTTAAATTTTGGGGCCCTAGTGTTTTTTAGTTCTTTATAGATTCTAGAGAGCAGACCTTTGTCTGAGTATTTATTTGTCAGGATTTTTTCCAAATTTGTGGGTTGCCTTTACACTTTGTTAGTAATTTCTTTTGACGTGAAAAAACTTCTCAGTAAGCGCAGGTCCCAGTTGTTAATTCTTTCAACTATTTCACGTGCGATTTGATTTCTCTCCATGAACTCTTTGCCTACCCCTATGTCTTCAAGAGTTCCTCCTACTTTCTCTTCCAGGAGATTTAGTGTGTCTGCTTTAATGTTTAGATCTTTAATCCATTTTGACTTTAGTTTAGTGCATGGCCATAGACCTGGATCAAGTTTGAGTTTTTGGCATGTAGAGAGCCAGTTTTTCCAGCACCATTTTTTAAAGGGTCTCTCTTTCTTCCAGTGAGTATGTTTGGCTCCTTTGTCAAAGATAAGGTGGCTCAGTGCATTTGTAGGAGCTTCAGCATCTTCTAATCTATTCCATTGATCCTCAGGTCTATTTTTTGCCAGTACCATGCTGATTTTATCACAGTAACCTTGTAGTATAATTTTAAGTCAGGAATTGTAATGCCTCCTGCCTTGTCTTTATAGCCCAGGATTGCCTTTGCTATTTTAGGTCTTTTCTGGTTTCCATTTTATATTCTTCATAAAATGCTGGATCATTATAGTAAGGAATTAAGCATTCTTTCAATGCAGAATTTTCTTTCCCACACTTTATTACCATTAGTATTCCAGAGTCTTTGCAACATTTGGTGAAATCTTGAACTTGTTCAAAACACCTCTGTCTGGCCTTTTCTCTCATTATTTTAGGAATAAAAACATCCTTTTCAACATGTCTGAGATGCTGATCTGCGGAGTCCAGCGCCATCTCGGCGGGCAGAGAAAGTAGTCTCCCTGGGCTGGGGGGCCGGGGAGGGGCGGGGCGGGGAGGAGCCTGGCCAACGCAGGCACCGGCCTCTTCCCACGGGAGGAGGAGGAGCACCGCGCACTCTGTGAAAAAGGGAGAAGCCCTTCCCTCTCCCTTTTTAAAAAGATCTATCTCCCCATTTCCTAATATCGGTCTTCTATTTTTCTTTTTATTTATAATTTCATTTTCTCGTATGGAGAATCCATGCAACATTTTAAATTTGTGAGACTGATTTATTTCACTTAACATTATGGTCTCAAGATATATTCATTTTCCTACAAATGAGTCAAGATTATCCTTCTTTGTGGCAGAGTAGTAGTCCATTTTGCCTAAATGCTACATTTTCTTAATCCACTCATCTATTGAACATATAGCCTGCTTCCAAGACTTACTGGAATTGTGCATTATGTTGCTATAAACATAAGTATGCATGTATCACTGTAATATGATGTATTCAAATTGTTTCAGGAAGATACCTAGAAGGATAATAGCTAGGTCACATGAAGTTTCTAATTTTAGTCTTTTGAGGAATCTGCACACTGATTTCCATAATAGCTGTACTAGTTTATATTCCTTCCAACAATACAGAAGGGTTTCTTTTTCCATGTAGCCCTGCTAGCAGGTAGCCATTGTGTCTGGGGTAATTTCAGTGTTGTTTTATTGCATATGTATTTTAGTCAGGGGTAAAGAGCCTCAGAGACCTGATCAGCCACTCTGTTGGGTGCCTTGCCTACTGGCCTCTACGATGATTGGTTAAAGCAGACACAGAGGGAAGCCATGCTAGAAAACGAATCTGAGTGATATCCCTGAGACAATGGAGTGTTCTGTTGGAATATTAAGTGGCCTGACAGGCAGTCTTTAAATGATGGTTGAGAATGTAATGACAGCTATGGAGGGGACTCTTGAATCAAGAACCCAAACTATTATTGAGGGCACCAAAGAAATAGGCCAAAAAATGGACTGAGTTTTCCAGGGACTTACTAAGCAATAAGTGCTAAAGTCTTCTAAATCCTGTAAATGTGTTTCCCATCATGTCCTCCAGTCTAATATCAATCCATGCCACATTTTCTGAAACTTTTTGTGAACTGATAGGATGTTTACATGAGGCTTAATGTGGCCTGTCCTTTCTGATCTATGCTTTCTAGGCATAGATGGAGGTTTAAGAAAAGCCACAAATCACAGGTCATCTCTGATACTCAGATTCTTAAGGTGTTAAAAAAGAGAGTATTGTGAGAAAGCCTTTAGGGATGTTTGGAAGAGTAAGGATGCTACTATATGCAGTGGTGGGTGTATGGAACTTTCATTAAGGACTGGAAACATAGGAGCCAGGGGAAGTAAGCACCCAATAGGGAAACAAGGAAAGCACATCCCATGAAGAGTACTGTGTATAAGAAATCTTCCACATCAGAACCATTATTCAGATTCAGAATCATAGTGGAGATAAGGACAACACAGGAAAAGGAAGGGAAGGGAAAAGAAGTGTAGGAAAGGGAGGGGGCTTCCATTCTAAATGTAGAACAATCTGGAGACAGGCTGAGGTCCCAACAGTGTAAGACATATTTCTTTGGAGACTCCACGTGTTGACAAAATACCAATTGTCCTATGAAAGTGATTGTTGGGCAGTCACAGAGTTCCAGAATGTCACTGTTGTTTTGTAGATGATTATGCAAAAACCTAGAAGAAATGTGTGCAACTTTGATTAATATGATGATCTCCACTGCTATAAATATGTAAAAGGATATCCAGTTATAAACACAAAATCCCCAGTCAAGAAAATTCATGGCAGCCAAAGAACTGCTCAGGAGTTGAGACAGTTGCATAATTGAGTGTCACAATCTGTTCAATGAGAACTTAGCCACCTACAAACAGGCCTGAGGCCAGGTCACTAGAAGACCTTAGCACTGTGGTAAACCAAAAGTTGAAAGAGTAAAATATGAGAGACTTGGAAAGAAAGCATTGAACCTCATTGAATATGGAGCTGAAATCCCAGCTTTTGTCACCATACGTCAGTTTGAAAATCTGACTGCTCTAGATCATGGGCTTTTGAGTAAAAGAGAAAACACGTGTTTGGAAATGAATTCCTGAATAAACTGTTATTCTGATAAGCAGCCTAGTTTGTCTTTGACATTTGCTCCAAGGCAGATGGACAAATTAATGTGTGTTTGTAGGTACTGCCATCTGTAAGAGGTACCAGAGAAAGGACTTGTCCATCACAGCCACTTCTATCTCGGACTTGCTTACAATAGAGAGCACCAACACATAAACAGATAAGTTTGGTCTGATTTAGTAAGATCCAGAGAATTAAGGGAGTATAGAGGGGTGTCACATAGGTCAGCATAGGATGTGATGGAAGCTTGTGGAAGAAGAAACTACTTTGAGCCCCAATGGAGTTAGTAATAAAGAAGCAAGTGGATGGAAAACTGGGGATCATAGAAGCCAAGGGAATGGCAAGATTCAGTGAAAAAGCAAGAATAGGTAGAAAGCTGAGGGCAAAAAGCTTTTTGTTGGATTGGAAAGGAACCTCATTGGTGATTTCAAAGGTGGATTGTTTCAGTAGAATAGGTATGGAGAAAGCAAGAGCCAGGGCTGGGGACTGAATGAGTTGGAGGAAACGGCAACAGCTGGCACAGACCATCATTGGAAGGCTTAAGGAAGGCTATGTGCTGCCTCTGTCTCTCTGTCTCTCTGTCTCTGTCTTGCTCTCTCTGTCTCTGTCTCTCTGTTTCTCTCTCTCTCTCTCTCTTTCTCTCTCTCTCTCTCTCTCTCTCTCTCTCTCTCTCTCTCTCATAAAGGAGCTGTGAGTGAGAAGTGGGCCTTGAACAGGAAGGCTAATCCTTTCCTGTGAGATTAAGGGTAGCACTGAAAAGAAGTGGGTGCTGTGCAGTTAATCAGTATGTGGGAAGGAGGATAGAGGCAGGGGAGTTTCCATGGCTTCCACTTTCTTGGCTTAAACAGGAGCCAGTATTGGCAGAGCCTAGGCTGTGGAGGCCAGGCAAGGGAAAGCAGCACAGGCCAGAAATGCCCCTGAGAAGAATGTGCAAGATACCAAGCAGGCATCGGCTTACACAAAGGGCAAAGCTCGCTGCACTAGCAGCCAGTGCAGTGTGGAGGTGGGTCTGCCCTGCAGGTTTCCTTCTCTCTCCATATCAGCACATAACACGCTGCTTTGCTGTTCGTGGCCATGGACTTGACTTCACAGTTGTTGGTTCTGTGTCTTCTTGTGGAAGGTGAACATTCCTAAAGCCTAAGAATCCCAGGGATGCTGGCTAGTAGGGTGGGAAGTAGAGCTGAAAAGATAGCCTGACACCATACCATTGAAGTTGGGTACCTCATTGGCCTTGATATTCCTCAAAATATTCCCACTTTTTCTCTCCAAGGATTTCTTCAGACCATGCAGCAAGCTGAGACAGGAGTCCTGAATGGCACAGAGGCCTCAAATTAAGCAATTGTCCCCCACTACTGCCCAGTTGCAGCCCTTCCCTTGCAGATCAACAGCCCACCACTTGTAATCTCCTCTGTGCATCCCTGAATTCTGCAAAGGTGCCCATGTATAATTCATTCTTAGCTTCTAGTGTTCTCAGACTCACAGTCTCTTGACCACCCCATTCCTAGCTTCATTCCTGTTTAGGGCACGTTAATTCAATACAATGCAATTACAATAATTTTTGCTTCTACCACTCTCTAGGAATTTATCATCTACTGCTTTGTTATTGCCAGTTTTTCAGGTTAGTGCATCTTACTGTTTTCTGATGCAAAAAAATAGCGACCTCCTTGCAGGAAGGATGGACCCTTGCTCATTTGATTTCAGCTTTCCTCAGTACCAATCATAGCTGCTGCTAAGCAAACACTGGATTATTGGCTGAACTGATGGTTAAAGCAGGCCCGAGATATGCCCTGCTTAAGGCATGTAGAATCTTTCATGGCCTGTAGAATACCAGGGTTTTGAGAACAGATTCCCTTTCTGGGCAGGACCAGGGGGGATGTTTGTAACAAATGAGACTTTCTTACTAAAAGGTGTGCAGATGGAAATTAACAACTGCCACTTAATGTTACCTGATTTTGTAGGAGGTGATTCAGGAGGGTATTTGAAAAATAATTTTGAAGGGAATCTGATATCTGCTGTAGCTTCAGGTCTCCTGAAATGCCTAGCAACCCTTTCTTCCTTCATCTTGACCTTGTTTCCAGACATTCATTCCAGTGGGCCAGGCCCGTCAGAAACATGAGCAGCTCGATAAAGCAGAGGGCATAGTCACCTAGCACCTCTCTGCACTTGATTTGTCTTGCTGGGAAGGAGAAAGTGGACTTTCTTTTTCCCCATCTGATATATAGAGCAAAGAAAAGAAAGATGGTGTAAGTAAGAGCTGGAGAGATAATTGCTATTCTTTTGCGGGCTTTGTTGGAGACTTTTTGAGATTTGTGCTTCATGATCTTGGGCATTGCCTGCTGAATCAGCTGCTCCTGGTTACAGGGTTAAACTGTGGAGAGTTGGGAGGCTGAACTGTTTTAATGTTGGCCTTTAAAAAACCCTTCCTGAGATTTTCAGTGGTGGAATATTTTTGTATTGGCCTTAAACGTACTTATTAGAGAAGATGTTTGGATTTGTTCTTAAAACTGGAACAAATCAAAGACTACTTCATTGCTTCTTGTGATTACATGTGAATTAAAATTATAGATTTTCTAATTCACTCAAGGTCAAACTAGCTTTCATTTTCAATCTTGATGTTTGTGCATTTATCTTTGTTTCTGAGGTTGTTTCTCACGCTTAAAAGGACAATCTAACACTTGAGCACTGCAGGAAAAGTTTCAAGGCATTTCATTATAAAATTTAAAATTTCCTGTCATTATCTTAGCTCCTTTCCAGGCCACATGCCAGGTACCCTTTACATTATACCTGGGATAGGTTTCTATGCTACCTCTTCTAAAATATCACCAAATGCCAGCAGTGTAGTGCACAGGGTCAT